AACAAAGAGCGAGCGAGTATAAAGTTGAGCCCTTGCCATTAGTTCGAAAGTCTTTTACCAGTTCCCTTTTGCTTCCAACAGGAAACGTTTGAGGATTATCGAGCCAACGCGGCAGTTCTCCAATGGAAAACCTAACGTTCGCCGAACTCTGGCCAGATATCTCTTGCTTATTACCACTGGGGTAGGCGGGGTTGAAGTGGGTGGCAAAGGGGTTGGCGAGAGAGGAGAGATCGAAGAAAGATGACAGAGAGAGAGAGAGAGGGGAGGCTGGAAGAAAGTTCCACGGCGGTCAGAAGGAGTAACTCGGTTGTCACGGATTGCCGACGGCCATCGAGACATTTTAATTTCCCCGAGGGTGAGCCGCGGACACCAAAGCACGATTTTAGGTCATAATCTGCTCCCTTTTATTCGCGATGATTGCGAACTTTATAGCGGAGATTAAAATGGTTTCCGGCCCGATGGAGAAGAGAACGCCGGGTTCACCTACGACCCCGCGCGCCATCCTCGTCCTCGCTTTGTTCTTACCAAGGAACGAACTCGGGCACAGATAAAAAGCGTTTTCGAGGAAATTCAAATTTATTCGCTCGATTGTGCGAAATGGGACATTGCTATTGCCGATGTTTTAATCGTTGGATGCCTCAATGAAAGGGCTGGTTTTCAATTCTTATCGTTGGGGTGCTAGTATATCTTCGGGTTATCGGGACCGGTTAATTCCTTCGGTTGTATTTAATTTCAGCTATTGTACTCTGTTCTTCCTACACAATCAGAGGAGATTATGAGCGTTTTCGAGGAAATTTAAATTTATTCGTTTGATCGCGTAAAGTGGGTCATTACTATGTTGCTTTTTAATTATATTGGATATTTAAATGGCCCGAGTAGGTTTTTATCCTATACTCTAAGGGGTGTATTATTCCTCTTGGGATTAGTAAATTCTCTATAATTTACTATTTAATTTAATATTTAAATTAGTAAATAAATTAGTGACGCGATTGCTGTGAATTCGAAGAATTCAAGAAGACAAAAAGCATTTTTGAGGAAATTTAAATTTATTCCCACAATTGTGTGAAATAGGACACTGCTATTACTAGCTTTTTATTTTTAGTGGATTTTTCAATTGTAGAGATGGATTTTTAGTTTTTATTCTTAAAAAATTTAGTATTATTTTTGGGATTGGTTAATTGAAGATTTGATCATGATTATTCCCTAACTAAGTATCTTTCGAATTAATTTTTCAATTTATAAATTTAATATAAGGGAAGCTTCGTGAAGATGGTTCGGTAAAGTGACGAAAATGAAACAATTCAACGTATTGATCCAAAAAATTAAAGAAATAAATTATTATCTTCGATGATAAGCCAGACATTTTCTTCTTAAAATTATTTTTAGTTAACTTTTGAAGCTTTCGTACATTTTCTACAAAACTACAGTATAAAGTGTACAAATATATAATGCTAGGACCCTGCACATATCTTGGATTTCTAGAACACACCGCGACAATCCTCGGAGCTCAAGTCTGCACAAAACCCAACATTCCCATAAGTCATATGGCGAAACTTTGTTAAGGAAACATAACGAAATCTTTTCCTAAGCTTGAAATATTCGTGTACCCGACAACAATACAAATATTTCTAGAAAAGGGAAATAATATACTAGCTTCTAAAAATACTTTATAAAATTACTTATAGAATTTCTGACATCTTTTGAAAAAGAGAAGGATTCGATTAAAATCGCTTTTCATGACACGACACTGTTTTAATACCGAGCTTAATTTCCTCTATTAATTTTAATACTTCGTCGGCGAGAGAGGCAGTTCAGCGTTTTTCATTTTTCAAATATCAGAGCTAGCAGCCACGAATCGGTGTTTTTCATTTTTCAAATGTCGAAGGCACAAAACGCGAATCGGGGTTTTCCGCTTTTCAAACGTCGAAGACACGAGATAACAATTCGCATCCTACCCATGCAATTTTCCCGATTTCGAATCATTTTCAATTTCTAATAATCGGCAATTTCTAATAAAAAATATTATTCCAGAAACTTCATTTAACAGAATGAAATAAAATGATGGAAATATTAAACAAAAATGTAAAAATAAAATATCTAAAATACAAAATATTTACAATAAAATTCCAAAAATATTTGAGACACTTGAAACAATGTGATATTTTCCTTAATATTTTCAATATTATGCTCTTTATTATAAGCTATTTAAATTTTAATTGAAACCAAAATAGAGGTAATTTATTGTTAATAAATTTATTGAATTAATAATTCCAATTAAATTGATATAATTTAAATTTAAAATATTATATTTTCAATATAAAAATATTTATTATCAAAATT